CATAATCATAACAGAATATCTTCAAGGTAACAAGCAGGTTCCCAACTTCCATATTATTCATGTAATTTTTGCTTACTCATTCAAATGATGAAAGGACTGAAAAAAATAAGGTTTAATAGTGTTAAAAATTTAGTAAGGCTGTTCAGCCAGTTGTTGACAAGTTCTTCTAGGATTAGCAGTATTGTTTGAAATATTGTTAATGGCGACTACTCTGTGATAATCAAATAGTTTTGAATAATCATCGAAATAAAGAATCGGTGACAAAACATTCCAGCACCCCCACGTATTGTATATGTAGGTCTTTTAGATCGAGCGAAAAACCTTCCGTATGCGCGCAGGACAATGGAAGCGAATCTGAGACACGTTATTTCAGGACAGCTATCGTAATTAAGTTGACATTTTTAAAGCAACAAAGATTTTGCTTCTTCATTCCCGTTGCATTACAAAATAGTAGAACTTTGAGATATTTTATTTTATTGTGAGACTGCCGCTTGGTCCTAGTCAAAAAAAAAGTTCAGTTGGTTCACTTTCACCTGTTGTGCTACTAATATTACAAAACATCGTTTTGATGCCGAAAAATTGAGAAGCTGTCTTTAGCTCTATTAGAAATTCGATGACGATGTGTCTTGGGAAACGACTATTAAACCTTAGAACATTTGTATAGTACCTCTACTAAAGAAGGCAATCTCACCACACGAATACGAGTTGTGTTTGCATACAATTGTAAAAGCTTTTCGTTTGCCAACATCTCATCGCTTAGTCTTACACCATTTTCTTTCTGTTAATGATGTTTCTTTATTCTCAAATGATAGATTGCTTCTTGCTTCTTTGTCTATTGTTACTATGCTTGCAGAACCTTTATACTATTGATCTTAATGATCGATTCGATAAGGATCTATTTTTTATGTTAAGCGACACACGCTCTTTATGTATTAAGCTACTGCTAATATTGTCTGGTTCGCTAAAAGTGACGTGCTTATGACCTGATCGCCTTCGGCACACGGTTAGGCAGTCTCTAATCGGTCTCACATAACAATACATATGACAGTATGTCGGTTAAACACAGTACGGTGAAAGTGGTAACATGTCATTAAAATCATATAAACAAAAACTACAGCATGTATTCGTACAGACCAAGATCTTTTGTATAATTGTTATTATTATCCCTCAATCTCCGTACAAAAAGCTTACAATGAAACCAGAAAGAATCAAATTCGCAACGCCAAATGAGTCGATTATCTATCCGCAGAGTGTCTCTAATTTTAGTACGAAAATTTAAAATTGGGGAGAAGACTCCAATTTCATTTGATCCGGTGTCGTTTTGGTTAAATTAGTCACATATTCAAAATGCACGCCTACAAAACAATTTGGGCACCCGATAGTTCCGATTTTGAAATTACTAATTTTTTGATTACGAAACATTAATACAGAAAAGGATGACTCTTAAAGTATAATAATAGACACTTAATTTTAGTTCGCTTTATACGAGTTGATCAGCGAGCGACAATTCCCCGCTTTATTCTTATAAACTATGAAAACATAATATGTAAAGTAGGAAAGGGAAAATGCCGTAATAATTTAAATACTATCGAGGACGCAGAAATAAAATCTTGATGTATAAATTAATCATCATCTTTATACGAGGGTATTGCAGATTTCTGTTGGTGTTTTCAAAAAAAATACCACCGCAGCGGGTTTGTTCGAGATTTATGTAACAGTTCTTTTCACCAGTAATATGCGTATTTTTTAACCAATCATACGACGTATACAATTGTGTCCAAATCAATTTGGACAAATTAATATCTTTATTGCGGAACGCATGACAGCATAGCTGTAGTCTTCATACAGTTACACGCGCAGTCACTGTAAATATACTTACTGGTCTGTAACTAAAGTCAATATAAATTTGGACTTGTTGACCTACATTATCGAATCATTGCATGATTTAGCATAGAATGGGGCAATATAATGTATAACTCACTTTTCAGAATACCATTATAAAGTTTACTTACTTCTTGTTCTTCCTCAATGATAACTTCAGCTTCATCACTCTTTTCATGATATGGCTTCAACGACCTTTTGAGCGTTTTAATGATGACAGCAGATTGAGTATCCATTACTTTTTGAATCTGATCGTTGGGATCATCCATGATCTTATAGTATGCAGTTACCGCGTCAGTTGGTTGGAGACCAGCCTATTTGGAAACGTTATAACAAAAAAAGTTTTGCATGACACTTAATGGTGACAAATCCAATACTCAATTCTGGAAGCTCACCTTTTTCCTCAACCTCTGTACCCTGTTAACAACTTCCCTAGCCCATCCCTCTTCCTGCAGCTCCTCATATATGTTCACATTCAACAATATTAACACATCCTTATCGGTATTCGTCTCATGATGACCATTCTCCGCCTCAAAATATCGGACGACCGTAAGATCCTCCTCAACTATTCTAATTCCATCGATCGTCATCTCCCCATTTTTGGCAAACTCTTTTACTTGATCAGATGTCAATTTGGGCAATGCCGCTTTGATTTTTGGTGTATTCTTTTGGAGTTTAGGTCCAAGAACTTTCCAATCAGCCTCAGCTCGATATTTTATTCCATACTTATCTTCTTCCGATGTAACTATCAAAGATTTTATATTCAACTCCTATTAATGATAGACATTGAAGAGAATTAACGATATACGAATTACGTTAGCCGCATACAACAGTAGTTTATGGTAAACATATAATACTCAATTTTTTATTAAGCATAACATTCGAATAGCAGAAATATCATATATAGCGTTAGCATTACCTCTTTAATATAATTCTGTAATGATAGTACATCCTCATGATATTGTGAGTCAGAATGTATAACAATTAGTTCGCTTAATGGCGTCTAAAAAAAGAATCCCAATTTATACTTGTTAACATTTTCACAACACTATTGCACCCAATGTATTCCCATGCCCACATACTTTTAAGCCAATACTTTTTTTCTCACGTATAAACCTTCCAAGTTCAATAACAGCCTGCATACGGGATACTTGACGCTCGATTTCAGGATCGAAATACTCTTCTCGCACTTCAGGAAATGATAGGAAATGTATAGATCGGACATCGATATTTGGATCTTGTGGTGGAAGAAAAGTCTTCAGCGTTTGATACATATTCTCCGTTAAGAATGGGGTAAATGCAGCCTGTTATTCAATCGCAAACAACGATTTAGTAACAACAAGTGGCCACAGGTTTAATACTTAGTAGTTCAGTAAGTATGCCATATTTCATATTTACCATGACACGACATAATGTGAATAACACTTCAAAAAGTGTATTCAATGCATCTACAGCATCATTTGATCCATTTTCACCTTTTAGTCGCTTACGATTGAATCGCACGTACCAATTTGTAAGCTCTTCAATGAGTTGAAGAAGCCTTGGGACAACCGTGTACAAGCGGTACGCTGGACATAACATAATAATTGTATAATAATCGTAAGAATTAATCACTTTCGAAACCTAAGGCTTCAAACCATTAATTACCGGCCATCTCTTCCCTAACGAACTTAATCAGACTCTGACACGAGGCCAGGATCCATCTGTCCATAACATTTGCTGATTTCTCGGCAGATGGATTATATTTGAAATCAATTTCATTTTCCTAAACATGATAAGATTTGTTTAACGTTACGGATTATCATATCTCATAACCTTGAAAATAATGACCAACCTTTTTGAGTAGTAGAATTTGTGAACTGAAGAAACGATATGCATTATACCACGGCAAGAAGACTTTTGATAACACTTCTTTCACACTTTCTTCCTTGAATCGCAATGGTTCGGCGCGGACTACTGGAGAATTAATCAAGTACAACCTTAGAGTGTCTGCACCATAAGCATTAATAATAGTTGTTGGTTCTGGATAGTTTTTTAACCGTTTGCTCATTTTTCTGCCATCTCTAAATTGATTCCATCAAGTAATTAATATGCGTTATACATTAAGATGTTGATAGTATTGTTAATTAGAGAACACATACGATGCCAGGACAAGTCCATTAACTATTAGATTTTGAAACGCTGGTTTGTCGAACAAATGAGTCGACAGTACCATAAGCGTATAAAACCATCCTCGTGTTTGATCAAGTCCTTCTGCAATAAAATCGGCTGGGAAGGAAGCTTCGAATTTCTCCTTATTTTCAAACGGATAATGACATTGTGCGTACGGCATGCTGAAGGCATGATTAGATGTAGTTAACGTTAACTGATAACAATTATATCCATAACTCGAAGATACGCTCGCAATGTATTACCTGCCAGATTCAAACCAGCAATCAAAAACTTCTTCAATTCTCCTTAATACACCTTTTCCTGTCTTAGAAGGTATTGTGATATGATCTATTTCATCGCGGTGAATGTCGATTAATTTATCACATCCAGACAACTCTTCGAGTTCGGCAATGGATCCTATACAGACAATCTTTCGAAATTCGATTTGTTAAGTAGATCATTTCACAAGATAGTTGGCAATAAATACCCAACATACTTCTTTATAGTCATCGCTAACCCATAAAGGTATTGGCGTCCCCCAGTAGCGATTACGTGAAATATTCCAGTCACGTGCATTTATAATCCAATTGGCAAACCGTTTTTCCTGCACAAAGTCTGGAACCCTAGAATTAAACATAACTACCATGAACATATATATATGCGAAATAGACAAACAACCAATAAATTCGATCATCAGTTACCAATATGTTTCTTTGTTGTTCTTCAGAAGTCTGTCGATAATAGGACGCACGCGAACAAACCACGATGGAACGGCTTTGTAAATCAGTGGTGTATCTGATCTGATATCAAAGCGGAAGGTATAGGAAATCAAGAATTATGGATATTAGATTAGGCATAAAACCTTTTTACATATTAAAGCTGGCAGCTCACCGCCAACAGAAAGGATAGCTGTGCATCAATTGTGACTGAACAATTAGCCGATTTTTTTGTTTCAATGTTTTCTGTATTTCCTTGTCCGCTTCCTAAATCATCAGAAAAAAGAATAGCACATTTATCTGTATCTGTGTCCATACATAGATACTTTTCTATTGTCAAAAGAGCATCCTCAGCCATGCGTACCTTCACATGCATCGGAGAAAAATCAGGCACTTCATCTGTAAATCGGCCTTGTTCATCAACAGGACACGGAAGAAAACCATCCTCAGTGATAATACCATTTTCCAAGCATATGCGATAGTCGTCCTCACCAAACGCTGGTGCTTGGTGAACAATGCCAGTACCACTATCATCAGTAACATATGTGTCGTTTACAACTACAAAACCTCTCCCTTTAAGCTTATTAAATTTAGTTAAGAGGTTGGTAAGTAGAATGCAAAAAGAAATGTTCATGGAACATCGCGGACGATGAATTCATGTAATATAAACATGCTACATACCTGGGGGACAAAATAATCAAACAATGGAATGTATTCCCATCCTTTCATATCCTTCCCAAGATATTTTTGCAACACAGTATACTTGGCCTTTTCCGGATTCTTATAAAGAATCTTAAGACATTTTTCGAGAAGAATGTATGTATGACCAGTCGAGATATCCTTGATCTTAATGTATTCAAATTCAGGGTGTGTGCAAAGCGCAAGATTACTTGGGAGTGTCCAGGGGGTTGTTGTCCACGCCAAAAGCCAGGTGTCGGCATCATGAACCAACGGAAAGGAAACAACGACTGTAACCGACATCAATAATAATCATCCGATTCGTTAATGTTGACAAATAAAGGTGCTATATCACCACAAATGTTCTTCAAATAGGGTTTGATAAATACTTACTCGCGGGATCATTTACGTCCTTATAATTCTGAGCAGCTTCAAAATTAGACAATGGAGTCGTGCATGCTGTCGAAAAAGGCATAATTCTTACACCACGATAAACTTGTCCCTTGTCGTAAAGCTGCTTAAAGACCCACCATACACTCTCCATGAATGATGTATTGAGAGTTTTGTAATCATTTTCAAAGTCGATCCACCGACCAAGACGCTCAACTGTTTCACGCCATGCATTTGAATATCTCATTACGATGCTACGGCATTCTGCGTTATATTTGTCAATACCCATTTTCAAGACGTCATCTTTGCCCTTTATTCAATAGATTAGTGAGCAACACGAATGGGATGACTGAAGACTTCAACCGAAAATACAATCTATTTTGAAAGAAACACCTTGATATTAAGGCGTCCGTCAATTTCGTATTCAACTGGAAGACCATGACAATCCCAACCAAATCTTCGTTCAACATGATGTCCAGTCTGTGTAGCATATCTTGTTACAATATCCTAGTAAATGTTTAAAAAAAAACCTAATAAACGATATGCAAATAAAAGAGTAGGAATACTGTCCCGATACAAATTCGCAGAGTTACTTCTTGATGGACAAATTCCAACAAATGTCTGTCTAATGGTGTATCAAACATGTGACTGATCACTTATAAGGAATGCAAAAATGATTCATCTGGGATTTTTTTGTTTCAATTCGCATTGCCCTTGTATTATACAATTTTTCTATTGCACGCCAGAAACACGATCACTCCTCTGTGATAACAAATCTTACTTTTATGGTTCCAGCTAACAGATGCCCATAATGTGGCAAGCCAGTGGCAAAAGGAGGGCCGTCGTAAAAGCTGTACGGGGGTCTCCCTTCTGACAGCTTTAGTTGTGTCTTAAAAGCATCAATTTCCTGCCAGAATTTTAGGATTTTCTCTTCCTCCTTTGGGAAGTTAAATTGACTTGAGGAGGCTTCATCATGCATCAAGAGCAGTTAGTTATTTGTTCGAAAATATTTCTTGCGCTAGTAAATTATTTTTATAGTTGAAGTGCAAGTTAAAGTGAAACTGAAATTGTTTAAACGGATGTATCATACCGTCAGCCAGAGACATTACAAACAGTTCGTTAGCGAAAGAATTTTCTCAAAGAAATCTCTAGTCGCAGTTATTATTATTATTAAATTCAAATTGACACGTGACCGATTAATTTACTGCGGCAAAGTTGTCATTCATCGAAAACTTTAATATTTAGCGGCATATTTCAAAAAAGAAGTGGAGTAGATAGATCTAACCATGAAAAGATTAATATTCGTTGCTGAGATGATGCACATATTATGTGCCTTAGTCAACATCTTCACGCTTCTCGCAACCTCCACTAAAATTGGTATACAAATGCGTGTCGCGGAAAGTTAAAATAATTATTCGGATACCTATTTCGGATACAAAAGCTCCCAATGAAAATCCTCGAGACAGTTCTTAGCTTCTTAGTCGCTGCACAAGAATGTATTCGTACATTATAGTCACTAACTATGCGTGCTGCGCAGAGAATGCCATTGCTATGGATGTCATGGTATTAATGGCTTTTTGTCGATTCAATTGTGGTTATACCATGGCTAAATTCCGATAAAAAACCTTAATATTGACGTATTTATAAAGGCGCATTCAAATGGTCTCAAATTGAAGTCATTGTTACTAAACTGAAAGTCTATCACAAAGACATTCAATTAGTAACTCAAGCGTCATTAAGCAATTGGCTTCCTCACCATTTTCCAAGATGTTATAATAATATCGGATCTCCGCGATATTGATATAAAATAGGAGGAGCATAATAATAACCGGTTTATCGGCCTATATCTTATGTATATTATCGCTTCTACGAGAAATTCGTCACTTGTAAAGTATCGATTTCGCGAGTTATCGTTTTGAGCAGTATCGGTTCCGTAAGCCTACCCGGCTTAAATGACGTGGACCAAGTACAGCACAATGCTGAAACTGTCTGTTAATTATCAACAACTACTGTTATTTACCTACGTAAGTAAGAAGGCTATAACCATTATCATTATAGTTATTTTCTTGCGACGAAAAGGATAACTTCAATAATGATGGGGTAAACTTGTCAGAAATGAACGCCCCTTATTGTGAATGTCGTGTATAAATACCGTCACAATATAAATACCGATTTATCCGCGACGCGTTGATATAGTCAACTCTATGTGCTTTTATAAATCGATTTACTTTGCCCTTACTATAAGAGAGTTGACTGTATATCCGGTACTTTCTTATTACACAGTGAAAGTCGATATAACGGACCGTCGATATAACGGATTTTGCCTTATACGGACTTTTTTGCTGGAACGGAA